ATTTGTTATTCATTTACTATTACCTTTTGCCGTGTCTTCATACAGGCGTGATTGTGATAAAGTTATTGTGATTAATTTGACAGACTGAATTATATCATTTAAGTTTTATTTTCAGCCCTCCGGTTAACAACATCTGCGGGCCATCCATTTAGGAAGTAAAGTATCAAATTCAGGAGCATGTTCACCTAATTATTCTAAAATGAAGTCAGCTGACAAATTATACTTTTCTAGGAATTAATTCAAGATGCTGACATAATTATTAGTTTTGGGTTTTCAAGTTTTTTGGGTAGCCATTTTTGTAGCCATGTCAGGACCCTGAACTATACTATAGAACTCACAAATATAGTATAAACATGCAATTAAAATTATATTGTATGGTATAACTCAGTCAATATTAATGCTAAAAAAATAAAAATTACTACCATTAGATTTCTCTCGGTTAGACGAATCCAATGGTATAAATTTCATTAAAATTGAATCACTGGTTATTGAGATAATGGGGTATGTAAGATATGTAAATTTGCAACTTTTGGCAAAGTTTACATATAAATTCTACGCAAACTCAAATGTGAGTTATATTAATATAGTTCGGGATCCTGCCATATTAATACTAACTATTATCTAGTTATATTATGTGAGAAAAAGTTCAATTTGAAAAATTTTCTCAATTATAGATTTCGGAATATCATACAGCAAAGGGTTGAAGAAAGAAAAAAATAATAATATAACCCACACAGTCCTAAAGAGACTAGCTTTGGCCAAAGACGCTAAAGTAAAAGAATTTTGAATATCTATAATTAATATCAAAATTATCTCATATGGATTGTTTATCCTGCCAATATATCAAGAATGATGGAATGATTTATAGGAAAGGATGCTGATATGCTTCAGAATGTACTAGATATTATAAAGCTTATCCTAAAAAAATATGCCTTATTTGTAATAAGTAAACCTATTCTCATACTGAAATCTGTAACATATATAGTAGAATTTATGACCATGTTTGACACGAAAGTAAAAAAACTAAAATAGAATCAACTACTTTGGGATTATCTAATATAATTAAGATACTTGGCTGAATAAGAATCTGGACCGAAGAACTATTTTCCTTACCCTATAGAATTAAAAGTTCCTGGATCTCATTGTCTGCATTTGACTTATATAGTGAAAGTTCTGGTGTGCCTTTATCTCTAAAATCAAGGCTATCATATGGCTAGTGATTAATTTGATATGAACGTTTCCAAACTTGTTTTTCTTTAGATCCTATTTTTTTCTATTTATCTTTATAGTATAGTCACATCAATTTTCAGCAATTGCATTAATTGCCCTTATAGCTGAATTAAGTTGTGACGTTACCTTAATACAAGACTTAAAGTCAAAAAGTAATAGGGATTGATCTAAAACTTCTATAAACTTTTTATAGGATCGTGTGAATGCTTTTAATACTATACTACCAGAAAGAATACACTCATCATCTATACCTATAAAGCCTAATATTTGAAAAAATTCTTATATAACTTCCTAATGCTTTGTTGAATAAGATTTATACAAGTCTTCTACTACTGATTTTTCCAGATTCTCTTCAGCTCTATAGCAGGTAATTTCCCATTATATATTTTCTTCAGCTTTCAATCCCTTTATTATACTCACCTCATCATAACTTTGCCTTCAAAAATAAGACAACTGTAAGAAATGCTTCTGAGTTTCAGGTGAACTAAAATTTTCAATAAATTTTCTATTGCAAATATTATTCCAATCCTCAATACTCATATCTTTACAATAAAGATTCCGCATATAAAAACGTTTAAGTGCCATAGTATTTGTGATAGAACACTCTTGATTGAATTTAAGGACTTTAGCTTCTTCAGGACTAAGATTTTGGGAAGTAGCAACTTTATTAAAATCTGTATTCTTAATAACTAATGCTTCAACCATAATCTCATTATGAACCCTTTTGCGATTCCTTATAACTCCTCGACTCTCATCCATTTTTATAAATTAGAGAAAAGTGCTTATACTGACTATGAAACTACAAAGCTTTTCAATAAAATATCTTGCAGAAAGACATTTCCGATGCTCAATTTCAATAAAAGTTATTATGGCTGGAGACGAATCAACTTTATAAGAAATGGTATTATTATTTCATTTACAATATCCCTTTATTGCTGTAGGCAAATTATTAGATCAAGCACTTTCAAGCTCTGCTTAAATATTTTCATGACCTGGTAGACGAAAAAGTTCATTAGAATTCTTCTGATAGAATAAAGAAACAATATGATAGGGGAATCACAATTTGGTAAAGCATTTATGTAAGAGCTTTAACATGAACTGGAGTGTCAATATTTGTAATAGCTATAATTATATCGAAGTGGTCTGTAATTTCAAAAGATATACCTGCTTCCACTGTATTTGTATAAGCTATGCAGTCAAGTTTGCCCCAGGTATCATTAATATTGGAAAAGTCTTTTTGTCTTTGCTTCCCATCCATATTTCCATAATATGCATGGGTTCTAACAGGTGAATTATCAGGTTTATATAACTTAGATGCTTTTTCTATTAATGCTCTAGCCATTACAGCTCTAGTAAATACAAATGCCACATGTTTTCCTTGCTTCAAAAGGTCATATCCTATTCTTATAGCTTTAGCTCCACTATTCAGATCATAAAGAATTTCAACTATCTCATTCACACGAGGCTGATATCTATTATCAATTATATGAATGTCTTCACTATAATATTCTTTAAGAAATGCTAATATTGACTTATTCACAAAGGCATTCATAGCCAAAACATGTTTTGCAGATATTAAGATATCATGTATTGCGTTCTCAGACTCTCATTTATTTGTATTGCTAGACATTTGACGCATGATAGCATTAGTTTTATCAAAAATAGCCACAAACGGACAAGCTGTAAATTTAATACAAAAAAGATTTTTAACTTGAACTATAATAATATCCCACTTATTTATAGATAAGTCTTCTAGCTTATTTTGATAGTTGCAAATTCAGAAACTGAACACTTTTAACTCATCAAGTTTTGCTTTTAACTCGTTACTAAGAGATTTTTGGTAAGAGATTCAGATATAATATGGTATAGAAGAGATATCATGCACCTTACTCTTTAATGCCATAATGATTTCTTTTAATGTAGTGGTTTTCATGTTATTAGGAATGAGCGAATTAATGTAATTGTTCTTTTAGTACTTAAGAAATTAGGATATGATTTAGAAGCATCTTTTAGCTTTTTAACATTAATAACTTTTTCTGGTAACTTTACAAGAGAATGCGGTTTTACTACAGCATTAGCTATTCTTTCAGCTATTTCTCGCTTAAGTATTGTGAGAATTTTAGTCATTTTTGTAAATAACAAACCTTTATAATCTGACTTATATTATTTTTGCCAATAACATTTGAGGATAAAGCATCCATCTTTTTGAAGAAAGCCATACAACTGATTCCTTTCATGTTTGATATTACTAATAGGGTATTCTATAAATGATTTGGCATAAAAGATAATAAACCCATTTTCAGCTTTTCTGATTTCAAGCTATTCATATTTTGCAATAACTAAACTAGCTTTCTTGTTTAAAACGGTTTTATCTTCGATAGGTTTGAACTCCTCTTTTTCTGACTTTTCAGAAGAAAAGGTTCGTAGCTAAATTTCTATAATTTGATTTAAGTTGAACTAAATAATCCTCTAGTTTATATATTCTGTTCTTGATCAAAGAAATCGCAGGTTTTTTGATTTTATCTTCCTTTACTAATCTAAGAAGTTGAAGACTAAAATATAAATTGTAAAACATGAGATCGATAAATTCAAAATATGGTTTTCCAACTCTATTAGTGACTTTTTTCACAAAACCCTTAAGGTTTCTATAATCAATAAAATAAGCCGAAGGATATATGATATGCCAACAGCATTTATTAGTATTAGACGAACTAGCTAAAGCAAAATCATTTAAAGTTATAAGATGTTTTAAATCAGAGTATAAGATATCAGTACAAGCAATTAAGATTCTGGCTAATAAATTATTATGAGAAATTTTATATTCATCTAAGGAAAAGAGTTCAGGATTCATAGGATTGGGCTTCTGCTTCGCATCAATGTTTAGTATCAGGTAAGGTTGCTAGACGAAATCAAGAGTTTAGACAGACGTCTAAATGGTAAAAGTAAAACTTGGTTAAATTATAATAAAATCTTATTGAAAAATCTGCGAAATTTGAAAAAAGGTAAAACTATATCAAAGCTTATAAAAATAGCGAAACTATATCAAACACTTAG